AGGCATTTGTCATCTGCACAACAGAAGAAAACACCATATTCAGAAGAAATAGATGTTGCAGTTTCAAGCCTGATCCTTTAGTGCAGTGTTTGATCTAGGAACAGTAATCACATCCCATTTACTGTGCTGATAAAGAACATGGAGCTGCCACAGTCAGTTTGGATGGATGCCAAGACAAACTCAGGCACAACTGAAAAATCCTGTTAAGATGACTGAGTGGCAAATGATGGTTATTTATTCTAATCAATTTGTTAATTTACTTCTGGAAAATCTGGATTAATTTGTTTCTAATCAAAACAAGGACCTATTCATTACAGCATGTATGATGAACTACGACTACATAGGCATAGCTAGGATCCCTAACAATCTTTTTTCTAAAAAAAAGAAAACAAATTTGGTAACTCACCCCTCAGAAGAAGACCATTTGGGCTTGTTTCCCTGGAACACACATTTCTTACCCTTTATCCAGGCTAATTTCAAATACCATGCTGGTGGGCCTTCCATTCCAAGCTCTTTTGTCCTCTCAGTGCTGCAGCTCTCACTGACTTTTCACTCGACTTCCAAACGTTCCAGCTGCTCTCTTCCTACCCACACTCTCAAACACAAGTATCTATTTAACCTCTTCCCTTTGTGTACCGTTGATTAAGCGAGGACAGCCCTATCTGCTGAGGCCTCTTTGTCACCTCTGCTGCTGCTGCTGCCTAGGCTGGGTCACCTAGGACTTGGCTTTCCACAGTGTTCAGATTCTGCCTGCTCTCCCTCAAAAGGCAGAAGTACAATACAATGAGGTTAAATACAACAGGTTAAAGTTATATGCAAGGTATAACTTATTTTACACAAGCCCTAGCAACCCTTCTGTCTAAATCCTGAATAGTGTTTCATTTGCCCTTCTTTGAACCCTGAAGCCCTTCCTGAGCAAACATACCAGCAGCAATTTCATCAGTGCTCAGTGGAGAGGTCAATGGTAATGTTTTCACTCCTGACAAACCTGCAGAGGTTCCAAGAAGATGAGGATGATGCTGGGACTCAGTACATCTGCAGACCAGAATGACACTGGCCACCTCCTCCCCCTATTAAATGCCAAACATTTAGTGCCAAAACATTTGGCATTGTTTGCTTAGTTTTCCCAAATGGGTAATTCTGAAATTACATTTCCCATGCTGGAACATTGCTTTTGTACTCTGACTGGTAACAGCATGAGTGCTTTGGAGAGACCTGGAGAGGGATGAACCAGCAGACCAGCTGGCAGTCTGGGAGTCTCACACTGGAGCAGGGCTGGCAAAACCAAAATCTCACCCCCCAGCCTCACCGTTTCCTCCATCAGCTGTTGTGTCGTCCCTCTCCAGTGCCACTGACGTGGCACCCTGGGCATACAGAGTCTCATTAAAACCCCAGCACCAAACAAGAAAGGCAAGCTCCACAGTGAAGGGAGGCACAGCAGGTACATGCCAGCCTCTGGTGAGCCTGGGGCAAGCTTCCCTGCCTGTGGGATGCAGTGTGGGGATCAGGAAGCAGCATGTCCCCTTCCTGCACAGGGTGCTGCTCATTGCCCAGCCAAATTCTCTATGCCCCACTCCATCCCTTTCTGCATCTCAAGTTCTTATTTGTTATTTTTAAACAGCCAGATTGAGTCTTAATTATTTAAGCACCTTCCAGATTTAGAAAGTTGTTTTGGCTGTGAAACTAACACTCAGTGCAATCATCTCTCATCAATAAACCATGGAAACAAATGTGTACGCCTGTTGGGAAAGAATTTTATTTAAAGCATACTGAAAAGTGCTTTAAATAAACTGTGAAAGATGTGAAAAGACCTAATGCTGGTCATGTTCCAGTGAGCTCAGCACATTTTCGCTCCAGTGAGAAAAAAATGGGACTTGTGCCTTATACAATTAAGATGGCTTGATTTCTCACAAATAGGAAGGGATGCCTCAGAAACATCCAAAACACAAACCTGGGCAAAGGGCCTTCTGAAAGGCACACTCACCTGACAGTTGTGCCGGTTTTTGTAGGGTTTGGCGTTTTTTTCCAAAGTGTTAAAAAACATAGTCAAGGGTTTGGTCCTTCAGGGAAATAAAGATTTGAGCTTTAAAACAAAAAAGAGGAAAAAAACCCCTCCATCAACCAAATAGCATTCCTAACATCTTACTCTAATAAAAGAAATAAGATTAAAGAACAGTGGCATAGCGTCACTTTAAGTGAGAGATTTTTTCTTATCCCAGAAAGAGCTTAAGGAACATAATTTCTGATCCCACTGAGAAACACTCTGCAGTATTGTACTCACAGAATCATAGTATATGCTGAGTCAGAGGGACTCCCCAGGATCATAGTCTAACTCCTGGCCCTGCACAGGACACCCCAAGAGTCACCATGTGCCCAAGAGCACTGTCCAAATGCTTCTTGAGCTCTGTCAGGCTGGTGCTGTGACCACTGCCCTGGGGAGCTGTTCCAGTGCCCAGCCACCCTCTGGGTGAAGAACCTTCCTCTGATGTCCAACCTAAACCTGCCCTGACTCAGCTCCATGACATTTCCTCAAGTCCTGCCTCGGGTCACAAGAGTGAAGAGATGAGTGCCTGCTCCTCCACCATCCCTCAGGACAATGTTGAAAAGCACAGTGAGCTCTCCCCTCAGTCTCCTCCAGGCTGAACAGAGCCGCTCCTCATATGGCTTCCCCTCAAGGCCCTTCCCATCCTCGTGGCCCTCCTTTTGCTGCTCCCAAATAGCTTAATGTCCTTTTTAACATTGTGGTGACCAAATGTGGTCATTGCTAACTGCTTCCCATAGAGTGGAGATACTTGATCTTGAATAAACCCCATGCAAATTGCTGCTTGACTCCTCTCCTTTGCAAAGCAAAGCTGCTCTTTATTTATGTAGCATTTTCATTTAATTAACAAAGAGATGGAACAAACTCTTACAGAGGGATAAAAAATTAAAAGGTCGTTTTCCATCATGAGGCAATACATGAGAGAGGGAAAGAAACAAACTGGTTTCTTCCTGTTGGCCATAGGAACATCAAGCACCTCACTGTTGCCCCGTCAGGACCTCAGGGAGGCAATGAAGAGTCTGGAGAGCACGGACAGAACTTTTCTTCCTCTGTCGAGCATCCCTGCCATTGGAAAGGAGCCAAAGAGGGTGCTTTGAGATTCCTTCCTCAGACATCTGACACTGCTGGGACCAGCTCAGCATATGCATGTAAATTACACAACAAAACCAGCGGTTTTATTATATGACCGAGTTAAAAATATTACCTACTTCACTGCAGCCAGAGCTTACATTCAAAAATGCTGTCACGTTGCAAAGCCCGTTACTTCAAAACACAGGAAACATCAGCTACATCTGGCCGGAACCTTTAATGTAGGCCCGCGGCTCACCTCATTACGAGAGTCTTTAATTACATGGTCCCATATTGTTTTTCACAGGGCCCCCCGCTGCCATGGCCGGGCTGAGCGCCCTCAGGGCCCGCTGCCCGCTCCCCGCTCCCCGCTCCCCTTCCCGCCCGGGACCTGTTGGACGCGCCGGCCCCGAGCCCAGGCGGCACGAGCCGCTCCCGAGCCGCCCCCGCCGCCCGATTGGCTCTCTGCCGCCGTGACGTCATAGCGCCCCTCCGCCGCCGCCCGTGAGCCCCCCGCACCACTCTGACGTCACCGTCAGCCCACGGCCGGCGGGGGGGCGGGGCCCGCCGCCCCGCGCCCGCCCCTCGGCCCCGCCCCGCGGCTCGCAGCGGGACAGACCGGCCGGTGCCGCCCGCCGCCCCCAGCGCCGCCGCCGCCGCCAGGTAGGGCCGCGTCCCCGGCCGGGAGGGAGCGCAGCGCCGGGGCTCCCCGCCCGCAGACGGGATGCCACGCGGCCGTCTGGAGAGGGATGCGGAGAACGAGGGAGGCGGGGGGCGCGGGGGGCGTCGCTCCGCGGGGCGCGCAACAAGTGCGGCGGCAGCGCTGGGGGGGGCTTGGTGCCCGGCAGGGAGCGGCGGGGCTGTGGCCGGGGACGGGGCCGGCGGTGGCGGGCAGGCCGGCCGGCGAAGGGAGGGGACGGGGCGGCGGAAGGGACGGGGCTCTCGCCGGGAGCGTCTTTTCCCCGGTGCAGTTTAGTCCAGAGCATGATGCAATCCCGCATTGCCATGGATACTGCATCCCGGGCGGCGGCGGCAGCGCTTTCCGCCGTGCGGGGCACGGGGTGGGGTGAAATAACAAGGGCAGGAAGGGAGGAGACCCCGCACCTCGGCCCCTGTCCACGGCCGTAGCTGCCTTCCCGGGAAGCTCGCGGAGGGCTGAGCGCTGCCACGGCTCCAGACAGAAACCATGATCCGTCTTTTTCCGCCGTGGCGGGTGTGTGGGGTGTGCATCCCGCCAGCCCGGCCCCGCTGAGGCGGAGCAGCCCGGCAGAGAGGCACGGTGTCAGCGGAAGGGCTCGTCGGCCTCGGAGGGGAAGGCTGTTACTTCTGCTTCTTCCCAGAGCTCTTGCCCAGCGACCCTGACCGCCTTAGTGGTCTGGAGCTGGAGCCGCTGGCACGGTAGTTCGCGGGTCCGTGTGTGGGACAGGGCAGACGCCGAGTTCAACCAGCGCCCTGGAGATGTGCAGTGCTTCTGAAAGGGCAAAACTTAAAACTTAGGTGTTTAAAGAGTAAATGCCTTAGTAAATGAGCAGAAAAGGAAGGGCAGACGACAGAAATGTGTCAGTGTGTCAGATGCCTGTGCAGGGACTTTCTTAAAAACTTTATGGCTTTTCTTTTATCTCTTCATCTCCTGGAAGCCCTCGGGCACTAGCAGCATTCGAAGCAGTGCCTGGAGTTATGTGAGGTGTTGTCGTGGGCAGTGTGTTTCCTCCTTCTCTGCCTGCGTTTGTTGCTTTTCTGCCCTCATTCCTTTCCCCTGATTCCCAGGGATGCAGCATCTGAGGATCCCGCTCCAGAGAGCTTTCCGGTATCGATCTGTGCTGTGAGTCTGCAGACAGAAGGTCAGTTTTGCAGACCCGGGCAGGAGCAGTAGCACCTTGGCTTGCTCGGCACGGAGGGCTCCTGGCAGACAAGAGGGTTTCTCACTCCGGCAGCTGGGTGCCCTGCCCGCTCCGTGCCCCAGCCGCCGCTGAACGGCAGTGCCCCGTACGGCTCATTTGTATTCTCAGTGCTTCGGGTGTTCTCTGATGCTGTGGGATTCAGTGCCATGGCCGAGTTCTCGTGGCTGTGACAGAAAACTCCAGCAAAGAGCTCAGCCGGCTCCTAGCGATGGCGGGGGAAAACGAGGCGGGGGCATGGCTGCAGTTGGGATGCTTCCCATCAGGAAGTCTCTAAAACCGCTCTGTGCAAATGGAAACACGCCCTGCAGCTGAAACTAGAGGAGGATGAGCGTGCAGGCGTCTCCCGTGGCGGCGCAGCCTTTCGCCGGAGTTTTGGGCCAGGTTGTTTCCAGGGTGAGGTTATCTCTGCCAGAGCAGCTCCCTGGCAGGAGCTGGCAGCCGCGGGCCTGCCGTGAGCCGCGGGCTGAAGTTATCGCCGCCGGCCGCGGCTGGCTGCAGGGCTGGCGGCTGCGAAGTTTTTGTAGGTGCGGGCTAATGGTGCTGCTGCATCAGTATTAAGTTGCTAGTGTAGGGGAGGGGGATTTATTTGGTTTAAGTAAGAACTTGTTAATAACGCTGAGGAATTTTGCGATGTATTTCACTCTTCTTGCTCCTTTTAACAGCCAGAGATTTTCCTCTGCTGTTAAAATACTTCATAGCTAGAGAAAAGTCCTGGTGCAGGCTCACCGCTGCTAACAGCAGCTGAAGCTGTGTCGGGGAGAGTCAGCCTGTGGCCCACGTGATCATCTGATGCTGTTTAGCAATAAAAGCTTGAATTTTTAATATGAGTATTCATGTATTTGTGGTGATGCTTTCATAGCAGCAAGTAGCCAACGCATGTACTCTGGCTGGAGGTAGCTGTTCTTGCACACAGAGGCAGGATTTTACCTGAAACTTGTGATACCTGGAGATAGCTGGGGTCAGCTGGGTGGAGATCCCTTCCCAACTTTATGTGAATTTAGGAGCAAATTAAAAGAACCACTGTGCTGAGTTTGCTGAAATTACGCTTGGATTTGCCCCTGGGATGCTGTTGCCATTTGATATTGGTCAAGAGCACTAGAAGAGATGCCAGAATTTTGCTTGACTTTACTGGATTTCATACAAAGCACACATTACATATGTAATGCATGCTGGAAGCTGTTCTTTGTGGTTTTTATTCATAAGTAGCTAAATGAATTTGTCATGTGTTCTGACTTAACTCTCCTGTATTTTAGCATTCAAGTGCAACCAGGGAGAGCAGCAGTGCAATGAATATGCAGTGTGGTTTTGTCTTGCAAGCTGGCAAAGGTCCGCCTGATGGTCTCTGTACCTCATGCTGCTTTTTAAATAACAGATGCACTTTGTGAGGTAGTGCCTTTTGCCTAGCAGCAGCTGATCAGATGGACTATCTTTGATTAAAACTCATGCATATTTGGTACTTAAATATAGCATCATTAATGATACTTAGTTTATGTGCTGTCTGACCAGTCTCTGGGTTTACTTATTGCAGTATTTTTAGTAAGTTGATGTTGTTCTTAAATTTCTCAGCATGAATTCTTGTTACATTCCTTGTCTTTAGTACAGCCAGAATGGAAATAAAATATTTTGAATTCTCTAGTCTAATCTCTTCTTTCCCTGCTGACTTTCATTTTGTGTTGTTTATAAGAGGAATTAACTTAGAGAAGATAACAGAACAAAAAAAAAGTAAATTTGAAATAGTACTGTAGATCCATCAGGCCTCTGGGCAGTTCCTTTAATTACACTTTCTTTTGCAACTTGCTAGGAGCAGAGTTTTGAAAATATGTTTGAAGATTCAGATTTTTGGGAATGATGGTGGAATTGACAGTATTATAGGATTTCAAGCTGACCTGATGCTCAAGTCTAGCAGCCACAGATGGAGAGCCCAGCGCTAAGTGATCCAGAGCTGCCCCTTTGCAAGCAAGCACCTTCCTTGTAAGGGACATTCAGTTGCTAATTGGTTAAATGCTCTCAAGTACTGAGCTGACCTCATTCCTTTACCTTCCTCGTTTTTGGGGCAGTAAACATTGCAACATCAAAAGCTTCTGTTTCTGCTGAGCTCGGGGGAAAAAAAGACACCCAGTCAAAGCACAAGGTTAAAATACTTTTCTTCTGGCTTCTTCTGGTGGTCTCAGCAACCCTCACTCGGTGGCAGACAGAGCAAATCTCCCAGTTAGTGCTGTCTGCATCCCACCTGAGAAAAAATTTTAAGAGAGAAACAGCAGTTGCCTACAGTGCCCTGTTAAAACACTGTCATGCCTGTGTGTACTGTTGTCCCCTCTGACTCTTTTGGACCTAGTGCTAAAAGGATGTCACCAGTGAACATTCGTTCTTGCTGCTGCCTGCCCCGTAGGCAGGGCAGGAGCAGTGTGGTGGTGTGGAGCCCTGGCTGGATGGGAGGGTGGGCTCAGTGCCGTGTCCGCTGTCACCCTGCTACCCACATGGCAGGGGACTTAGCTCTCTGGGTCTGGGTTCCCACCGCCAGGGCAGGAAGCCAGAATGCCTGTGCTGTGCGGAGTTGTTCCCTGTTACAACTCATGCCAGGAAGGCTCTTTTGGACTGAGAAAGTCCTTTGGAGTGAATGGGCTCTTGGTGGTGTGTTTTTTGGTTTTTTGTGTTTGTTTTGGTTTTTTTTTTTTTTTTTTTGTTCAGGACGTGAAGCTTTTGTTCTCTGACTTTGAACTGGGAAAGGCAGGGATGCTCTTTCATTGCTGAAGAGAACACCCACAAATATCTGTACCTATTCTTGGCATGTTGTTTTACTCCTGCTGTCTTAAAGTGGATCACAAGCAAAGTGTTGGCTCTTCACAGCTACAAAAGCTCCACTTAGATTTGGCAGCTCTTCCTTTAGGGTGAGAAGGCATGTATAGGTAATTATGCTGTTTACTATAACCTCCCCTGCACAACAACTCATTCATTTTGTCTTCTTAATGTCAATCCTCTTTTGTTACCTTCTGTCATTACCATGTCCTGAATTGGTTGTGTGGGAGTGAGATCTATAAAACTGTTTAGACACAGGAATACCATGGGGGCTGTTGGCTTCAGCTCTTGCAGTATGCTTTTGTTTTTCTGTTTGTACAGTGTACAAAATTACATTCTTCCAGGCTGCAGCATAAGCTTTTCAAAGCTGTTTTGCTATATAGTAGGCTGGAGTAATTGATGCTTTTTGCATGATAGTCAGAGCACACTTGTCCATGTGCATCCAGACACTTCAAAAAACTGGCAAAAATCTTTGTAATGTAGTTGCTAATTTGTTTTGTGATTCTTAAATGTGTTAAAAATGTAGAGATTCCTGCAGTTTGTGCACACTAGCATTGAATATGCTTTTTCCCTTAAATGGAAGAACACACAAGGACAAATGAAAAGGATAATCAATGAATTACATAGAAGTTGGTCTGTTAGAAACTTTTTTCCAGGTCAGATTGCTTTGCTATGACCTTTTCGAAGTCTGTTTAAATTTGGTGTTGCAGCAATATGGTTAAGAGGGCATTGCTTAGGCTGGCATCCCTGCATTTCCTGAGTGCTGATTGGTAAAAGTGATTTATAGCTGGATTTCTGAGGGCACTGAAGCCTGTCCCCATCATCCAACAGAACAGCAGTTAGATCTTTGTTTGATGAGGGTAATGCAAACAGTGACATGAATTGATTTTTTTTTTTGATTGATAAATCAAATAAATGCTGCCTTCAGTCTTATTACGGAAATAGCTTGTAGAGTTGCTGTTGACTGTGTATGCATTGGGTTTCCTTATACCTATTTAATGAAATTAATCTCCTGAAATTTATTGCCTTGGTTTCTCTGTTTGTGTTTTGGCATTTAGAACACATTATCTTACAGGGCAAATAAGAGCGCAAGAGCAAACTTGTCTGAAGTATGTGGTTGGTAAATGCTTTCCTGCTGTACTGGATGCATTGGAGAATTATTTAATTTTCTTGGTGAAATAGTCGACTTGCATGAAGCAGGAATAAACCTCCTCACCAGGTGTAGAGATTTTACAAAAAAATGCATGCTGCTAAGTGCAATTGTCACTTCTCCATGAAGAAATTAATCATCCTACTTATGCTGAGCTCAGTGCTGTGAGTTGAGCTGGCCTTGGCGTCCCCTTGCAACTGGGTATTTTTCATGCCCTTATTAGAACTTTATTAACTGTGGAGTTTGTGCTTCATTAATGATAGCTTTGTTAATGACCAATGGCATACTGGGCAGGTAGAAATATACAGACATTTCATGAACTTGTATTTAAGCTAAAGTTGTGTGTATTTAATTGACCTCTATGTCAAAACTTGGTGTCAAACATACGCCTGCCGACTGATATGCTTTGGGCAGTGACTAAATATGCTGAGTTGCCCTAGAATTTACAGGAGATAAAATTTGCTTGTGCAATACAGCAAATGTGGAGTAAACCTTTTTTCCTGCATTTTCAAATTGTGCCCTGCACTTTGATCCCTACATAACCCTCTTCTGTGAAACTCTGGGTCAGTGATTTGAGCAAAGTGACTGTTCTTCTGTTATCACTTGGAAGCGCTCCTCTCCTCTCCCTCTTGACCTTGAGAGAACTGTTTCCCTTCTTGCCAGCTGTCTTTGCAGTGATTGGAGGGTAAGTGCTTTCTTCCTATGTGCATGTTCAGGCTCTCTGCTTTAAAACATGTGCTTGATTTCAAAAAGGATGTAGTCTTGATTTCAGGTAAGACTCCAGCTTTTTTGTATTCCAGTGGGAGTTTTTGTTGGTGTCATCTTAAGGATGTTATCAGGGTTAGACAATAACTAACAAGTATTAATTTTGCAGAATAATGTAGTTTAGTGTATTAAACCAAATACACCTCATATGTTTAGCTAGTTAATTCATAAGCAGTCAAATTTGTAATTTTTCTTTTTTTTTCTCCCTCACTTTTTTCTGTTAAAAGTTTAGTGGGAAGCATTTCAGGTTAAAGCAGTACTTCTGCTGTGCTTGTGGTGGCTGAAGAGCCCTTAGCAAGTGCTAGTTGTGGGAAAAAGCCTTCTTCCCTTAGACACCAAACAGTTAAGGTTTGGAGCAGACCACAACTTTGTGGAGGAGCAGCTCCTCTGCTGAGTTAAAACCAGCTGTTAGAAATTAATAAAATAAATTTACTTTTACGTTTGCCACTACTGTATCATTGTCAATATAGTGGTCTGAAAGTAGAGGTCTAGTCCTTGAGCTGATCCTGTGTCCTCGGGTTTGGGTTCACTTGAGACAATGAAGGTTTGGGAAGCTATAGGCCTTTATACCTTAATTTTTGTAGGCTTCCCCATAGATTCACTATTTCTATGCACATAATTGAATCAGAAGACTTTGGTTAACCTTTTTCTGAAGGAATATTTCCTGCTCTTGGGTGACTTT